CCACGGGAGAACAGAAAATTGATCTAAATACAGGGAAGGAAACAGAAATTCCAGTTACAATGAAGGATGTTTACGATGAATTTGATGAAAGAATAGCAGCAAAATATAAAATTATGAAGTTCAAGTCCAAGGTTTGTATTAGTTGTAAATTTTTGTCTAGCTTTCTTAATTTGTTGTTTGTTAATGTCTTGATTTTGTAAATAGGTATTGCATATCTACTTCATACAAAGTGCCTTCTGCATATCTCTAACTCATAGAATGGCAATCTCATAGGCATGGATATAAAAAACTGTGTTAGATTTTTAAAGATATTTTGCTTTCTTTTTAAACTGCTTGTAAAATAATGGTCATGAATTTGAATATATAGATAACTCAAAGCAAATTACTTTAAATGCTTACATTTCATGTTTTTATTCTGAAATGGCAAAGAAAACATTTTGATTTTATAATTAGTTATTGCCAATGCATTTTGATTAGAAGGTTAAGTAAGATTTGTTTTAAAAATCAGGGACTGTGATGTTATTTCTGATAGAATGAAAGTCTTATATTCGTGTGATATGTATGACAAATTGTCCAAACTGGTGTTGGTGGCACATGCCTCTGATTCCAGTGACTTGGGAGGCTGAAGCAGAAGGATTACAAGTTTGAGACCAACCATAGTAACTTAGTGAGACCCTGTCTCAAAAAATAAAAATAGCTGGGGATGTAGCTCATTGGAGAATGCCCCTAAAAAAAGAAACAATATTTTGATTTTAGTGAGATATTGATGCCTTTGGCCATAATTGTGGGGTCTGTAACCCACTAAAAATATGGGAAGTTAGTAGTGATGGAAAGAAAGGGAGGATTGAGTTGCAAAAGATACAGCCAGCACTCTTAACTACTTAAGTTTTGGATTGTGGCTGAGTCACTTCTTTAAATTTCCACAAGTAATAATGCACAAGGCCTTGGGTTTGATTCCTAGCATTGCAAACAAAAACTAAAAACATAAAATTCCAGAGACAATGTGTTGTAATGGTGAAGCATATGAATGTTAGAGTCAGGTTGCTTGTGATTTAAGTCTTAGCCCTACTGCTTACTAGTATCTGACTGTGAACAAGTGCCAAGTGACTTCCCTGTGCCTGTTTCTTTATTTGACAAAT